AGGATGAAGGTCGATATTCGAACTTTTACTTCTCATTCCAGGATAAAAATTCCCTTTTTTCAAAAGAGGTTAAATAAAAGGATAATGAAATTAAAAAAAAAAAAATTTTCTTTTCGTTTTTTTTTTTTTTTTTGGAAAAAACAAACAATTTATATATATTCTAATTCCACGTATATTTTTTTTTTACACAAATAGAACCACGTGAAAGAGAGAGAGGGGTGAATAGGGGAGGGGGAAAAAAGGAAAAGGCGTTAAATCGATTAAAGGCTCATTAATAATTAGTTACCGTGTAGAGAGTTATTTACATTTAGTTTAACTACATTTTATCCAATTTTTTTTCTTCTTCCACGACTTTTTTTCACTCTCACACTTCAATCCCTACCTTTCTTTTTTATTTTTATTTCAAAATATCGTATTCGAAACGAAATAAAATTTCTTTTTAAAAAAAAAAAAAATTTAAACGTGAAACGATAGAATTTAAAATTCAAATTGACCGGAACACACAAATCGTTTGACCGGAAACGTTATTTTAAGCCTTTAAATGCACGCTCGCGTTCGTATATGTTTGTGTGTGTGTGCGTGCGCGCGCGATACGAATACGAATATATATGATGAATTGAAAAGGTTTTTTGTATTAAAAGAACCTTTTTTTTCCCTTTTTCCTTTTTTCTTTTTTTTGAAACTTTTAGAAAAATAATATATATATATATATATAAACAAATAACAAACGGGGGGGAGGGGGAGGGGGAAATTATTATATATATAAATATTTTTTGACATGTTTTCAATTCATTTCTTATTTCCTTTTTTTTTTTAATTTTTTTTTTTTTTCCTTTGTCAGTTAATAAATTTTTCTTTTTTTCTTTTAAGCGTGAATTTCTTTCTCTTTCCTTTTTTTTCCTTTGAATTTAATAAATTTAATAAATAAAATAAAATAAAACAATTTTTATGAAATTGATTTTTTTTTTCGTACGACGACAATCATATTTTATAATTCTTTTGTAAAAAAAAAAAAAAAAAAAAAAAAAACTTTTTTCCCCAGCCGGGAAAAATCAAGCCGGGAATCAATTGACCCTGAAATTACACTAAAAAAAACGCAAAAAATAAGGAAAAATCTCGAAATTATCGAATTAAATAAAATAAAATAAAATTCTCATAAAAGCATTTTGATAAAATTAAATCAAAAAAAAAAAAAATCTGGAAAATTACTTTCTATTATACTTTCTAAGATTTTTTTCATTTTCTCAAAGGATATCAAAGGAATGAGTTTGTGTGCGTGCGTGCGTGTGTGCGTGTGCGGTTTTTTATGGGTTTTATCTCCTTCCCTCTCTCTCTCTCTCTCTCTCTCTCTCTCTACCTCTATACGAAGCTTAAACTAATTTTTTTTTTTTATTGTTTTTAATTATGTTTTATCGTGATTTAATTTGTTGTTTTCTCTCTCTCTTCCTTTCCTCTCTCTCTCTCTCTTTTTTATTAAATTCCACGTCATTTCCCGATCGTCTAATTCGTCCAAACGTCGTTTCCCCGTTGCCTTTTTTTGGGGGGGGGGACGAAATTTAAATAAAATTAAAACCGGAAATGAAGAATAACGTTTTTTTTATTTAACGTCTTCTTTTTATAATAATAATAATAATAAAAACATCAAGAAATAATGATGAAATAAAAATGATGAGCGTGACGTCATATATATTTAAATCGTTAAATTACCAAAAAAAAAAAAAAAAAATTTCCCACATGGAATTTTCTCTGTCTTTTTGACGTGGTTTTTTAAAATTAATTCACGCACGTATTTCGAAATGATGTTACGCATATATTACGCATTAATAATGGTAATAATAATGATATTACAATTGTATTCATACATGCATATGAATAATGAGAAAAATAAATTTTAAAAATGATTCTGCGGTAAAATTCGTCCCTCGGTTAAAAATGGCGATGGTGGTGGGAGGGGGGATGAAATTAAAGGGAAGAAGGAATGAAAAAGGATAGTAGATTGATGATTAAATTCATTTACGTCACGGGTATTAATTCCGATTAGGTAAAGGATCGCGTTCCAGTCGGATACCTGGAAAGATAAAAAAAAATTTGTTTTTAAAAAACTTTTTTCTCCAGTTTTTCACGTGGAATAATAAAATTAAATAAAAAAAGAAAAAAAAGAAAAGAAAAAATCAAAATTTATTTTTATTTATTTTTTTTTTGGAGTTTCCTTTGTCTGAAAATGGTTTATCATCATCATCATCATTTTATCATGTTTTTCTTTCTTTTCCTTTTTTTTTTTTTTGTAAAAAAATTTTCCAATTTTTTCTGGGAAAAAAAAAAAAATTTCTCTTTTATTTTTTTTGGGTTCATAAATTATAAAATAAGAAAACAGAAGCCAATTTTCAAAAAAAAAAAAAAGCAGAAGAAAAAGATGAGAAAGCAGAAGGAAAAAAAAAAGAAAAAGGAAAAAGGTTTATCTATTTGTTAAAATTTTCCACTTTTAAATTCATTTTATATTTTTTTTTTTTTTTTTTTTACGATTTCAATTTTTTTCATCAAAATTTAAAGATATAAAAGGAAAAGAAACAAAAAAAAGAAAGAAAAAAAGGAAAGGAGAGAGAGAGAGAGAGAAAGGGAGAGAGGGAGAGAAAGAGAGAGAAAAAAAGGTTTTCATATCCTCAAGGCTCAATTTTCAATTCTTTTTTTTTTCTTCTCTGGAGAAAAAGAAGGGGGGTGAAGGAGGGGTGGGAAGGTGAGGGAATGTGGAAGGTAAAGAAGCAGAAGACGTTTTTTTCCTTTTTTTCCATCGAAATTTTCCTTTTTTTTTCTCCACCGAAAAAAATTCGATTTTATAACCTTTGAGAAATTTGTCTTCTTTTCTCTTCTCTTCCATAGCGTAATAATAAACTCAACGATTATTATTATTATCATTTTGTACCGGAAACGCAAAATAATTTCCTGAGTTAAATTATCATTATTATTATTATTAATTATTTCATTGAATAAATTATTATTATTATCATTTTAATTAATTAAATTTTATTATTTTCGATTTACTCACGCGCGCGTACACAGCGAAAAAAAAAGAAAATCAAATTTTTAATTATTATTATTATTTTCTTGTTTTTTACCCTTTGACCTTTAACCATTTACATTTCCTCTCCCTGACTTTTTTTAAAGCCAAAAAAAAAAAAAAAAATTATTCCAAAATAATTTTCTTTATTCTCTCTCTCTCTCTCTCTGTCTCCCCCTTGGAAAATTAAGGAAAACATCCCAAAAAAACAGGGGGCGGGGTAGGGGGCTGGGAGAGGAGGAGGAAAAGGACGGATTTTTATAATAAAACTCTCGTGACACGATTTGCTCAACCAAAAATTTCAATTAATTTTATATATCCCCCCCTTTCCTCCCCCCACCCAAAAAAAAAAGGAAAAGAAAATAAAAGAAAAATTCACGGAACCGACCCCATTTTATACACATAAAAATATTTTTTTACTCGAAAGAATATTCTAGAACAAAATGAAATGATGATAATGATGATGATGATGATGATGATGATGATGATGATGATAATAATAATAATAATAATAATAATAATAATAATAATAATAATAATAATGAAAAGAATTTTTATTTTATTCTTTCGATTGTCTTTTTAATTTTAATATTAAAAAAAAGTTTTTTTTTTTTTTTTTTTTTTTTAGAAAGAATTTTAATAAAATTTAAATGAAAAATTTGATTTTTATAAATTACCTTCATTAATTTTCATTTTTTACCTTTTTCTTTTCCTTTTCCTTTGTTTTTCCTTTTTTTCCATTTTTTTTTGAAAGTTTTCGACAAGTAGTTATGAGAAAGGGATAATTTTTTTTTTTATTTTAAAAACATTTTATTCTTGATTTCGTGTCACCAATTATGACAAAAAAAGGAAAGGAAATTTTTTTTTAAAAATAATTTTCCTTTGATTCAATGGAAATTTTAAAAAAAAAAAATGAAATCTCTGAACGTTTTATTCTTTTTTTTTTTTTTTTTTTGTTATGGTTCGAGGGCGCTTAGACAGACGATTTTTTTTTTCTTTTACCTTTTACGGTATTAAAAACCGTCTCAAAGGAAAAAATTATAATTTTTTTTTTTTTTAGCCGTCTGAAACGTTTATTTATTATTATTTCCTTTGAATATTAATTTTTTTTTTTGATATATGAAATGATTTTTTATCGACCGCAAAAAAAAAAAAAAATTTTTTTTTGAAAAATAAAACAACAACAAGGAAAAAACCATTGTTATTTTCCTTTGATAAAATTAATATTTAATTTTTTTTCCTTTTTCTTTACCAACAAAGAAAACAAACAAAAAATAAAATGAATTTTCGATTTGATTTTTATTTTTATTTTTTATTATTAGTTAAAATATTTTTTAAAAATTTTCCTTTTAAAAAACCGGAAGTATAGAAAAAGGAAAAAAAAGGAAAAACAATAAAGTCACCGTAAAACATAACCGGAAATACTTATTATATCACTTCAGATTTTTTTTTAAAATTTTTTTCGTTTTTTCCAAATTTGTTTTTTTTTTTTAAATCTTTTTATCCTTTTTTTTCCTTTTTTTCCGTTCTCAAAGGTTTAAGGTTCAATTTTAATTCCCAAAGGATGTCGTCGTATCGTTCACATCGTCGTCCTTTTTTTTTTCCTTTTTTATACGTTTACTTAGGATTCGACGCTCATTTTTTTTTTTTATATAAAAATAAAATTCAACTTTTCTATGGAAAGATAAACGGGTCTGAACAGAAAAAAAAAGAACGAGAGAGAGAGAGATAGAGAGAGAGAAAGAGAGAGAAAGAGAGAGTAATAGAAAAAAAAGGAAAAAAAAATTACATATGTAAACATTTTCCCGTCAAAGTAATTTGATTCGTTTTTTTTTTTTTTTTTTTTTTGGAATTTTTACGTCATTCTTTATGAATATGGAAATTTTCTGGAGAAAAAAAAAAAACTTTTTTTTTAAATAGTCGGTCGGCATAATCATCATCATCATCATTGGTTTGTTTCCTTTTTGAAACAATCCCGATTATCGTAAATGTTAACAAAATGTTTTGTTTTCAATTCGCATCCGTTTCCGGTTTCGAAATTTTTCTCTTCGAATTCTTTTATTTGTTTGAAAACGTCTTCGTGTCTCTCAACCACATCATCCGAATAAATTTTACTTTTTTTAAGGTATTTTAACGTTTTCAAATCGTCACGATCGGGCGGGGGAATGTCTTCTGCTTCCAACTATAAAAAAAACGTTGACCAATAATATTTTCTTTTGTACCCATCACGTGATCGTGACGTATGGAATGACGTCACGTTTCAAACGTATTCTACTACTACTTACCGCAACTTCGTCGAGTTTTTGTGCTTTTAACGTGTTTAATTTTCTATACCAAAAATCTCTCGACATGGCAAACCTTTGTCCTTGACCTTTCCTCGAACTCACATTATTATTATTATTATCGTCATCGTCGTCGCAGAATCCTCCCATATCGTAGATTTTATTACAATCACCTTCTTCTTCGTCGTCATCATCATCTTCGCATTCTTCTAAACAACCCGCTTTTCCATTATTTCCATATTCTTTGGATTCTTCTAGAAAGAAAAACAAAAAACAAAAGAAAAACAAGATGGCGTCGTTTTCGTCACTCGGGGGAACGATAAATAAATAAATAAATAATTTTGGTTAACCTTTCCAACCGGACACTTTTATCTCTTGCAAATCCGATCTTTCTCGTATGTATTTAAACAATTCTTTTACTTTTTCGTGATTGAAACGATCTTTGGCCGGATGTCGATATTCTCGCGTGAAATTAATAAATATTCTGTTCGTTTCCGGTTTGCATGCATCTTCGTGTGTTCCTCCTATCTTCCGATAATTCTTCCGATGAATAATCGCAAATGAAATCGTGATTCATTTTCCTTCTCCAGTTATCTTTATTTAAAAAAAAAAAAAATAACCTAATTGTTTGTTTTTGTTTTGTTTTGATCGTTAAAAATTTCATTTTCTATTGACACGTTTTTGACAAAAAAAAAAAAAGGCGGGAAAATTATCGAAATATGAATAAATGAAATCCAATTCTACTCCTAAATTTTAATTTTATTTATTTTTTTTGATTTCGACCGTTAATAACCGAATAATGAAAATTCTTATCAGTCATTTAATTCTGTTATCAATCCAACCGTTTTTTTAACCGTAAAAAAGGGTCTCTTCTTTTAATCTGTCTTTGACAGAAATCCCTTTAATAATAATAATAATAATAATAATGCTAATAATTAATCAAAACATCTAAAATTATAAGAAATAAAATTTCAAAAGTTTTTTTTTTTTTTTTACATTTGGTCGTGGCATTAGAAATAATAAAAAAAATTTAACAGAATTATTATTAATTGATGATGATGATGATGATAATAATAATGATAATAAATTAAATAAATTAATAAATGAACACAACAATGCATTTTTTTTTTTTTAATTAAAGATGACGAAATTAATATTTTTTAAAAAAAGGAAAAATGTAAAGGAAAAGGTACGAATGAAGGGGAAGGGTGGGGGAGTGAGAGTGAGGGCGGGGGCGGTGGTTTTTTAGAAAATGAAAAAAGCAAACAAACCAGAAAATTAAAAAAAAAAGAGAAAAAAAGAGTTCATACGACGAGTTTTTTTTTTTTTTTTTCATTTTTCTCTTTATTTTTTTTCTCACCTTTTTCTTCTTATTTTTATTTATTAATTTCGTCTGCTACTCTGTTAATAAATAAATAAATAAATGATGAAAAAAATTAAATGGGAAAAAAATATAAAAAAAACAATTTAATTGTGTTATTTTTAAACCAATTTTAAAATCGGTCGGTTAATTAATCAATTAAATTAATAAATTTTAATTAACTCTTATTGTATTATCATCATTATCATTACCATTATTATTATAATTATTAAACACTTTGAAATAAGTTGTAGTTAAAAGTAAAAAAAAAAAAAAGAAAAGAAATCGTTAATACTAATTATTATTTATTTTGTAATTATATTAATAAATAAATTGTAAAACTTTTACGTTAATAATAATAATAATAATGATGATGATGATGATGATGGGGGACCAACAGGGGAAAAAGAAATTTCAAGATCAAATGATAAAAGTTAAATATCTGTGATAAGAACGATAACAGACAAACACGCACGAACACTTGTCTAGGATGAGATGTCTCAACTCCAGTACTGGAACTTGATTAGTCGAGGAATGATAGAATCACATTCCGAATTGTCCAGACAACAAACCGGATATCATTCCGTAAAGCGTAAACTTCCGTACCGGTAGCAAAAAAAAAAAAAAAAAACGGAAACGGATTCGCTATAATACGAAGCAAAAAGAATTTAAGAAAAGAAACGTTTGCGTGACGTCACATATTTCATCAAATTCAAATTTATTCATTGTCAAAGTGGGAAAACCTGAAACGACCGCTGGGAAATTTCGAAAATCGAATCAAATAAAAATCGCTGCGTATGTCAAAAAGTGATGATAATAATAATGATAATTTTTTTATATAATTAACGATCGCGTTAAAAAAAAAATCCGTGGAAATATAAATACGAAAAAAAAAAAAAAAAAACAAATTAGTTGACACGCTCTCCGTTCCCACGATTTAAATAAATGATAATGATAATGATGATTACGTCGAAACGAGGGATGTGGAAGGTGGAAGGGATAAGAGGGAGAGGGAGGGAAATGGGTGGGGATGGTGAAAGGCACTTATGAGAAAATTATAATTGAATTCATATGAATATTTATTAAAAAATTAATCTTTTTTTATATAATTCAACGTTCGAAATGATAATGATAATTGATAAGCGATGTAATACGAAACAAAATGGACAGAAAATAATAATAATAATAATAATAATAATAATGATAATAAATCGATACATCAAATTATAAAAAAAAAAAAAAATTTTTTTTTAAACATACGAACATGATTTTAGTTTAAAATGAAACATTTCTTAACGGTTTTTTTTTTTTTTTGGTTTCTTTTCGTTTGTTGTTTCCTGTTGTTGTTTGTGTTGTTGTTTGTGTTGTTGTTTTTGTTGTTGTTTTTTCTCTTCATTTATTTTATCGTTTGTAATTTTTATTTCCGTTTCCGGTTTTATAAAATTTTTTTTTTAAATTTATTTTTAAACATAAATTTTTTTTTTTTTTCTACAAAGTTTCTCGACCTAAGACGATAATAAACAAACAACGCCTGCACACATTGTGATAATAATAATAATAATAAAATTATTAAAATATGGCTGACGTGTTTGAAAATTTTCCGATTTATTTTTTCATTTAAAAAAAAAAAAAGAAAAAATGATTTGTAACGTGAGAGCATAAGAAAGAAAGAAAAAAATTGATAAGAAACCTTTTGAAATCAAAACTAAACCTTTTTTTTTTTTTATTTATGTATGAATAGGTGAAATTTATATTTGATGCGACAACAACAAAGGTGGGAAAATTCTAGAAAAAGAAAGAAACAAAAATTATTATTATTATTTTATTTTTTTTATTTCCGATTCCAAACGAAAAAAAAAGGTCATAACTAGGTAGAATATAAAATAAAATAAAATAAATAAAACGAAATTAGATTTGCTTGTTTGTTTGTTTGTTTGTTTTTATAGTCTTACATCGGGGAAGTTTCAGAAGAAAAAAAAAAAAAAAGTTTTTTCTTATAAAAAATCTTTTTAATAAAAAAAAAAAAAAAAAAATCTCAAACGACGACAAAGACGAAGACGACGACGTTTTATTAATTTATTTTTTTCTTCATTTTTTATTTTTTTTATTTTTATTTATTCGTCGACGTTGTCGTATTCATTTCTAGAATATTTTAAAAACAAAAAAAAAAAAATAATAATAATAATACAATAAAACAAACCCGGAAAACAAAATTTTTTTCCTTCTTGTACACATTTGCTTACCATTGACGTGACGAATAAAAAAATTTTTTTCCCCCCCCTCATGACGTCCTTTTAATTTTTTTTGTATTTCCCGCCAAAAAAAAAAATTTTCTACTCGTGACGATATTTAAATTTTTACTCAAATTTCCCGCCAAAAAAAAAAATTTTCTGCTCGTGACGTCATTTTAATTTTTTTCAAATTTTCCGCCAAAAGAAATTTTAAAAAATTTTCTTCCCCTCGCGACTCTTTTAATTTTTTTTTTTAAATTTACCGCCAAAAAATAAAAAACAATTTTTGTCCCCTGGTGACGTCATTATAATTTTCTTTTTTTAAATTTCCCACCAAAAAATAAATAAATCTTAACAAGTAAGTAACCAACTCTTGAGAAAAAAAAAAAGGCGGGAAAACGGATGATGTTGTTATATCACGGGTCAACCGCGATTATGATGACGACAACAACGACCGTTATTATTATAATAACAGTAATAACGATGATTTGTTTTTTTTTTGGGGGGGAGGAGGGAGGGGTTATTTCGACCCCGATATATATATATATATATATATATCTAAAAAAAAAAAAGGTGAGAATCATAATTTATTTAAAAGAGTCACTAATTACATAAAAAAAAAAACGTTTTTCCAACTTTTTCTTTTCTTTTTTTTTCCTTTTTTTTAATTTTCTTTTCTTCTGACACTTTTAATTTTTTTTTTTTTTAATATTAAGTTAAAATCAAAATAAATTTAGTTTTAAAAAAATTTTTTTCAAGTCTTGTCGTCGTCGTCGTCACGTATTTAAATTTAATTATTTTTTTTAAAAAAAATGATAATAATAATAGTAATAATAATAATAATTTTTCATCGAGTAAGTTGATGAATTTTTTTTTTTTATGGTTCTGTATCATTCGAATGATAAAATAAGGGAAACGACGATGAAAAAAATAAATAATCTTATTCTTACGGGGGAGGGAGAGGTTGGGAGCGGTGTGGGAAGTGGGGGGCGAAGGAGGGAGGGAGGGAGAAAGAAAAGAAAAGAAAAAAATAATATTAAAAAAAATTTTTTTTTTTTTTCTTGTGTTTCATTTCTGATCACGAACGCAATTATTTGTCTTTGATGTAATCTCATGCCATAATTTTTCCTTTTTTTTTCTCCTTTTTTTCCTTTTTTTCTTACCATTTTTTATTTTCCTTTGTCTTTTGTTTCATTCCAAAAAAAAAGAAAAAAGAATTAAATTAACTTGGTGTGTTTCGAGTTTACTAATTGAACGTTTTTGGAGAAAGGGGAAAAAAAAAAAATTTCAATAAAACAAAAAAAAAATTGTTTCTATCTCTCTCTCTGTCTTTTTTTTCAAGTACTTTTATTAACGTGTGCAAATATCAATTTAAACAAACAAACAAACAAAACAAACGACAAACAAAAAAAAAATTTTCAAGAGTTTTTTTTTT